AAAAAAGATCAATATGATGGGGTTCTCAAATAATAATCAAAGGTGGTTTGGGCATTTGTACAATAATATTATAATTGTGGTGATGGTTGTCATCTTGAAATGGAATAATAATAATGGGGCAGAAGGGGCTGCGGCACAGGCATCTGCGCTGTTTGTGTTCGGGGATTCAACGGTGGATGATGGCAATGCTAACTTCCTTAACTCCAGAGCTAAATCCGATTACTATCCCTATGGGGTGGACTTCGCCGGAGGAGCAACTGGCAGATCTACAAACGGCAAAACCTTTGCCGATCTCCTTGGTACACATATATACATACACATATACTTATATCTACTACTCTTTTCGTCCCTTTTGAATATTCTTCCTTGACTACAAATTGTCGAACTTTTAATTCTAAGTAGCTACACTCAGAGGCGGATCCAGGATTTTACGGTCATGGGGTCCCCTACCCGGCTACCTCTCATTCTCATGTCAAACTACTTCATAAGTCTTAACATTTAACAATAAATTAAAACTAATATTTGAAGAGTACCATAATTAATACGTATAAAAAAAGTCATGTAAAAACAATATCGTTTACAATTGTACTCGTCTAGTTTTCATACTTTGGAAGTGATTTATAATTACATCATCACTAATGGTGGAAAAGACATCTCTCTCAACATAAGTTATTATACAGTCATTCAACCATTGATTACAAATTTTATTCCACAACTCATTCTTCATTAGCTTCATTCCCGAAAAAGACCGTTCAACACTTGATGTTGCCATAAGAAGTATCAATGCCAACTTTATGAGAACATATACGAAACTGCACGTATGAGACTTTTTAGTGGAAACCATTTTCATTGAGAGCTCAACAATACTCTTTAAATCATTGAATCTATGGTCAGAGCTAACATCCATATACTTATCACTTGCAATCCTAAATCAATTTTTTATTGAAGAAAAATCTTTTATTCTTTAATGTATAAATTATTATTTATTACTAAATACTAATCATATATTCATATATCAAACTTCAAACTACCATAAAAAATAAAAAATTAATTTTAATAAAATACGGAAATTAATTTTAGTAAAAAATTAATTTTACCGTTGAGTCGTTGACGGGAGTGAAGGAGTCCGGAGAGTGAATGCCTGAAGTGCTGCCGACGTGACGAAGATGACGCAGGTCGCCCGTCGCTGGCGGCCTGGAGGGCGGCGGTCGCAGGGCAGAAGCTAGGGAGTTAGGGTTCCAAAATCAAAATTAAAAGTGTAAAATAAAGAATTGGGGAACTGGGAAAGAGAAGAGAAATTTACAGAGAAAGGGGGCAGGGAAAACAACGTTGTTTTGATGCTAATTACGAAAAAATTGACTCTAAAAAAGAAAAAAATTGACTCCATAAAAAAACCCAACTGGGAGTCGGACCTCTGTCTAGGGGAGAGGGTTAGGCGCACCAGTGCAATACTCCACTGAACCAAACGCGCTTCTAGTTAATATCTGACAAGCTTCTCTTATATATTAAGATCTATACATACCTAATACCTATATGAACCTACCCCGGGGTCCGTGGGGTCCCGGGACCCCATTGGACTCAAGGTAGGTCCGCCTCTGGCTACACTACTAGAATCTCGCGTATAAGCTGCAAAAAATAGTGGGTGATATTTCCGCCTCTAATTAGCTGCAAAATTAGCTGCAGAATAGTGGGGGAATATTCACCTTCTGTTTGAAATTTTCATTAGTGGGTAACATTTTTGCCGCTAATTTTGTAGCTAATTGAAATAAATTTCAATTGTATAACCAGGAGATTAAAGCTAAATTAAAAACAGCAGTAAAAATAAAAATTCAAATTTATTTAAAAAACAATTAAATTAGAGGCAAAATAGTCCTCCACTATAATCAAACACAATAGAGGCGGATGTCTCCCCCCTAAATCCGTATACCCTAAAGGGAGAAAGACCAAAGTAGAACTAAAACATTGAAAATATACCAAAATAGGACTTCCATGTTTTTATTCCTGAAATAGGACTTACATTACCAAACATGGTCATATACATTACCAAAAAAGTATAGTAATTTCCACATGTACACTGCTACATTACCACAATGCAAAGTTACATTACCACAGTGCCAAGTCTTATTCTGGGAAAAAAAACATGAAAATCCTATTTTGGTACTTTTCTCTACTCCCTCCGTCCTAAAACTTTCTTCTCAATTTGAATTTTCTCCATTTTTAATTTTTGGCTTTGACTTCAAATTTTACCCTCCTTAAAAAAGATTTTTTGAATTTTTTTTGGCAATCATTCAAAATATAGAGTTAGAAGATAATTGGTGTAAATATATGAGGGTATTAATGTCATTTGTCATCTTTTTTTCTAATGGGAAGATAGTTTTAGGACGGAGAAAAAGGAGAAGTGGGAAGAAAATTTTAGAACGGAGAGAGTATGTTTTAGTCCTATCTAAGATGATTTCTATACCCTAAATCCCTAAATATACAACAAAAAAAATGAAACTAAAAAAGGGTAAAATTTTCCCCTCTAATTGTAAAATAAAAAAAGTGGGACTTGTGTGATATATAGACTTATCCAATTAAAAAAAAACTATCCATCTCTCCTAAATCTCTCTCGTTTCTCGCTGCCCTCTCACCCCAGCCGAAGCGGCCTTCAACACGGCGAAGCACAGCGCCGTCAACGCCGCCTCTCTGCCTGCCGCCGACTGTTGGCTTATCAGCCGGCAACGGTCACAACCCCGAAATCATCTTCCGCCGTCTTAGCCGCGCCGACGCCTCAGCTCCCCCTCCAATTTCTAGGTTTTAATTCATCTTGAAAATACTCTAATTGTTCAATTATGTGAATTTCTTTGCTTTTCTCTTGAAAATTCTCTAAATTCTTCAATTATGTGAATGAAAATATTCTAATTGTTCAATTATATGGAATTTTTGTTACCTCAATTTGATTTTCGAATTTATATATGTTGGTATATTTTTATTCTAATTTTTCAATTATGTGGAATTCTTTTTTTAGACCAGTTTTAATTATGATCTTTTTTTAACTTAAAAATCTGAAAGAATCATATGTCTAGTGTCTTGGTTTTGTTCAAACCTACTAGTGTTGTTCAAGTTTAAGTCCGTACTGAAAAAATTGTTCAAACAAGTTTGTTACGTCCAGGCCGAACTCGAACCAAATAAATTTCAAGTCGGTCTTCCGTCCAAAAAATATAGGCATTTGGATTTCAGTTTGGTTAAACCTGAAATGATTTAGGTTCGTACCCATTGGACCTAACAACTAACCTTATTAGATTGAAAACACCTAAATACCAAAACTCTACTTTTTAAGTTTGGTATTACACGTTGATCCTCTATTTAAATGGATATCTTAATAGATCTAATTAACAAGATTTTTTATTAAGGAATACTCCATCCGTCCCATTGTCTTTGTCCACTTATCTTTTGGCACACCATCTAATGCACTTCTTTAATCCATTTTATCTTGTAATTTGTATATTAAAAAATTATAGAAATTATATATTAATAATTTATATGTTACGAAAAATCAAACAAGATCACACATGACTATATTTAGGCTTACACATTGAGAAAATTTGATGAGTCAAAGTGTTTAGATAAACAGTTCCAAAAGTCAAAAATGGACAAAGACAGTGGGACATAAGTAGTATTTTTTAAGAATTCAAAAGAAAATTGTTTTACATTAGTTGATATGATTATACATAGAAGTAGTCCATGTTTGGTATCTATTTTGAAGTTTCCATTTTATTTTATTTATTTCTATTTGCACAGTAAAAAGCCTAAAATATACCCCTCCGTCCAAGATGTTCCAATTTGACTTTTCACGGTTTTTTAGGAGTGTTAAAAAGACTCTTGACTTTCCCAATATGCCCCTACTTGATCTGCCTCTGAGCAGTTACCATCGCACATAACCTCCCCCACCACCTACGCTGCTACTACCACTGCCACCCCACTTTCACCGCCACCGCCACCACCCTAGTCCTCACAATCATCGTCAACCCCACCACCGCCTCCGGTCTCAACATCGCCGTGCTCATGGTCTAGATCTAGAACATAGATGGAGGAAAAAGAAGGGGGAGAGAGAAGAGAAGAAATATAGATCTAGACTCACCATCGCTGCCGCGCCGCCTTCATCCACACCATCATCGCCGCCATCTTCATTCTCCCATCGCCACCGCCGTCCTCAGCCCTGCAATCGCCGCCACTGCCCTTACCCCACCATCACAGATTCACAGATCTAGATGGCGAAGAAGAAGAAGCATACGGAGGAGAAGAAGACGAAAGAGAAGAAAGGAGAAGAAGAAAAACAAAGAAAAGAAGAAAAGAAGAAGAAGAAAGGGAAGAAGAAGAAATCTGGCAGCAGAGAAGAATAGTGGGGGGGGGAGAAAGAAACGAAGAAAGAAAAAGGTAGTAAGAAAGTGGCGGACGAGAGATGGAGAAAAAAAGAAAGAGAAATAGAAGAGGGGTATTTAGGGTATTTTGTGTGTTAAAATATGTAACGAGAAGATTTATGGCAGACAAATAAAAAGGGGTAATGGGAAAATCTATGAGGGACGGAGGGAGTAATTAATAACTCAAAATAATTATAAAATATGTTTCTGTTCGATCCAATCGGTCAAGACTCGTTCGGTCCTAACAATTTCGGTTGAGTCCGGTCCAAAACCAAATAGGTTTAGGTACGATCTTACCTCCCTGATCTTGTTCAATTCAGTCTAGTATATGATTTTGTTCACTTCGGCCTGGTATGGTTTGGTTTGACCTTAGACTGATGGTTTTATCCTAATTGTATGTCTAGAAAAGCATTTATGCACTAGCGTCCAACAGGGACACACTTGGAAATTTCCATTTGGTCAATACGTACCATTTAATGGCATGCCATTATATTTATGACAAATTCTTCCGTGATCCTAAGTTGCATATTCATTTTATGGACCTCTGTAAATTGATATCGTAAAAGAATTGGACCTTTTGCAAAAAAAAGATCTACTTGGTAACCCATGAAAAGTGTGAAAAAGCAATATTTTACATCTGAATCTTAGGACCACGAAAGAGCTACTCTATATTTATCGATATCCATGCAGCCAAATGCCTCGCTTTACCCAAAGAGTAAAAAAATGAGAGATAAAAAATAAAATCATGCTAGGAACCCACCACGATTGTCCCCGTAGATGACAATTACAGGTGATTCTGTACACACAGACAATAATCATATATGTTCACAAACAATTATCGTCTGTATATGTATGAATCATCTATGATTGTCATTTGTGGGCCCATGTGATGGATTCCT